CCTGTCAACTAAAAGTTTTATACGTGCCACCACAACCATAGATGTTTTTAACCAATACAGTATGGTGATGTTGAGGCCTATGGAAAGAAGAGACGTGCAATTTCAAATAAGAAATGAGAATACTGAATAATGTAATTGGAAGTTGACCAATACCGTGCCCAGCTGGCAAGACTTGCTTGATGTTTCAAGAACAAAGCTGCACCAAGCCTGGTTCTTACAAAATACATTTAGGATCATGCCCCCAGTCACCGCCAGGAAGGACACAGTATTATCCTGACCGGAGGATATCCTAATGGCACGCTTATAAAGCAAATTACACCCTTGTCAATACATAACATGCCAGATCTAACCACAACACAATTCAAAAGTGATTGCCAGATGATGTTTATGGCAGCTTACATCAACTCTGCTGGCACCATCGTTATTTACAGCACATATACAGATGTGGTGGGAAACAGGTACAATCACCAGCAACGAAAACAATTCATCGATTTGTTCCAGTACACAACACCCATCACCGCAATCCTCTCGTTGGGCATTCATTACAAGCCCTTACCGGCTAGGACGCCACACCCGCCATATCTTAGAGAGGGAAAAAGCATGTCGTGAAATGTGTGACGAAGAAGATTTCTCACTATTTTGAAAGTGTAAAAGCACAAGCCATGGGTGATGAAGCAGCTTCTAGTTGTGCTGCAAAAAATTTGATTTCACTTCTCTATAACCACACAGAGGCATTCAGGTGTCATCACGGTGACCTCAATCATCTTCTCACAAGATTTGCTGGGACCGAGGCACTGCCTATGGCCAAGCTACCTCCAAGTGAATCGGTCGTTCGTCAGCATGTGGCACGAGCGATGGCAGACTAAGTTACAGGCGATGGCACGGAACCCCCGCGAAGACATCGGCACTCCTCTTACATGTGGATGGAAGGATATCGAGGAAGGCATTGAACCTGTCATGTGCCTGGGACTTGCGGCCTCAGAACTCGCCGATGATGTCGTGTGTGTTTACATGGGCAAGAAGATGTGCTCATGTTTCCTTGGGCCTTACTTACATACAGTGGTGAAAGTGTGAAGAAAATGACAATAAATGTCATAAGACAAAAACATTTATGACAGATGAATCTGAGTAGAATAGTTACGAGAGAGACAGTGATTAAGTTACCTACGTATACAGGTGTTCCCTGACTTACGACGGGGTTAGGGACCCAAATCCAGGTCGTAAGTCCGATTGGTATGAAGTCCGACATAGATAAAAAAAATAAATAAATATAAAAAATCTACAATGAAATACAGTACAGTAAAAGTAGTAAATAATGAGGAATGGATACAGTACAGTAAAAGTAATAAATAATGAATGGATACAGTGTGACTGAGCACTTGCCTTTAATGTAGTCAGCTGAATGCACACGGGGCCCCCATAATTTTCTATTTATAGGATACATGGAGACTATATTAATTGGATGAAGCAGAGGAGGAGACAGGGCTGGGTGGGTCATCAATGTCGCTTTCTTCAGACAGGTCTATGTACTGTGGAAACTTGCTGGTTGAAGGTATTGGATCATCTTGAGGGAGTGAAGAGGCAGCACTGGTGGGGCGTGAGGAGACAGCACTGGGGGACTTCTTAAAATAGATGTCCAATTTAAACCGCACAGTTTGTTTTTTCTTTTCATTATAAATTTCTCTGTAGCAAGCAAGTGCATCTTGGATCATTCTGTCAACTTTGACATAACGCTCATCATTTTGATCCATGCCATCAAATATTTGCATTCCTTTATTAATTGTAGCAAATGCCTCAGCCATTTGTTTCACTGAAAACTTTTTGGGGGGTGCAGGTTCTTCCTCTACATTTTGTCTCTCTTCTTCCTCTGCAATTTTCTGTGCATCTAGTTCAATAAGATCCTCATTACTGAGCTCTTCTGCTGCACTTTCAGCCAACTCTCCAACATCTTCATTATCAATTTCTAACTCCAGCTGTTTACCTAACTCCACTATCTTGTTACTAATATCCAAAATAATTTCATTTTCATTAAATCCTTTGAAACTGTTCACATCTCTTTTCAGGATTTTCTTCCATATTCCATTCATGCAATGTTTTGTAACCTGATCCCATGCTGCACTAATGTTCTTTATACATGAAAAAACGTTGTACTCCTTCCAAAACTCTGAGCGTTTTCTCGCCTTCAGTAGCAGCAACAGCCCGAGCGAAGGTCGTACGTAAATAATATGCTTTAAAGGCAGCAATAGTACCTTGATCCATGGGTTGGATGACAGAGGTAGTGTTAGGTGGAATGTACACTACCTTAACATCAGGGTGCATGTCGTCCAGGTGTGGTGGGTGTCCCGGAGCATTATCCAAAATCATCAAAATCTTGAATGGAATCCGTTGTTGCAGACAATACTCCTTGGCTCATGGAATGAAACAAGTCATGAACCAATCCTCAAACAGTGCTAAGGTCATCCTGGCTTTCTTATTACTGTGATAAAACACTGGCAGTGTGTGCTTGCTGACATGTTTAAAAGCCCTGGGGTTCTCTGAATGATAGATCATGAAAGGCTTTAGCTTGAAACCAGCAACATTCCCCCCCAACAGAAGTGTAATTCTGCCCTTGAATGCCTTGAATCCTGGCATTGTTTTCTCCTCTTTGTGGATGTATGTCCGCTCAGGCATGGGCTTCCACAATAATCCAGTCTCATCCACATTGAATATTTGCTCAGGCAAATAATTCCCTTCCACAATCACTTCATCTAACTCCTCCTTAAAAGCTTCGGCAGCACCAACATCAGCACTAGCTGCCTCTCCACTCACCTTAACATTGTGTAGACTGTAGTGTTTTTTAAATCTATCAAACCACCCATGACTTCCTGTAAAGGTTTGATCACATTCATCTCCTGCCTGCTCCTTCAGGCTTTGGAACAGGCTTCTTACTTTAGCCTGTATGGTTAGAAGGCTTAAGAGTACACGCTTCTGTATTTGGTCTTCTATCCATATCACCAATAATTTTTCCATATCGTGAATAGGACATTGTCTTTTCTTCGAAATTATAGTTCCCTTTATAGGTGTTGTTCCTTTCACTACATCACGAATACGTTCCTTGTCCTTCAGAATAGTGGATATAGTCGAGTATGAGAAACCTAGGTCGCGTGAGATTGTTGCTACACTTTTCCCATTCTCATGCTGCATCTCAAAAGTAATTGCCTGTCTCCTTTTCTTTGGAGCACCACGAGCACTCTCACTTTTACGCTTTCCAGTCATTATAAAGTCAATTAAATACGATGATAACGAAAGTTCACAGTGCGATCAGTATAGGATACTATAGCCAAACACCAACTAAGCGCTCCACTGAGTGAATGTACCCACGTGGCTACCCAAGCCGCGCCACGCTCTCGCTCGGGACGGAAACGTTTCGGTATAGAAAGTGCGCGTGTCATTTGAAAATATTTTTGGTCACGACTGCCGCGGTCGTACAGTATGTCCCGACGGTCGTAAGTACCGATGAACGTAAGTTGAAGCAGTTGTAAGTAGGGGAGCACCTGTACTGTATGTGTCTTTAGAAGTGGAAGTTTATTATTGTATCCAGTTCTTAAAGTCAATATTTTATCAACATCATTATTTCATGCACTCGTTTACACTGGAGAGATGTAGAAGTTTTCTGTAACGAGAAATAACAATAAATGTGGACAGAATTGATTGTTATTAACTGCTTGATTCCTTAAAACTCATTATTCTAACAATAACTGTAAGTCAGTGATCTTTTTGCCTCAACCCTTGACATTAAAACCTCTCATGAAAGGTTTTAGTCAGAGGCCGTCCACAAAGGCATCGCCATATTATTTAAGGTGATCCTCAAAACCATGAATTAAATGTCAATTTAGAAGCAGCAGTGCTAATATGGGTTGTTTAGTCATCTTTTCACCACTTGACCTCGGAATTTTGATCTGAAAATGCCCCTGACCTTGACCTTACCATGTGACCTTGAATTCTAATCGTCACTGAAGGAGATCCACTGTAAAGGCTATTATAAGCCTTAACAACATAATGTAATACAATATAATGTAATACAACCTAAAAATGGTTGACATATTGGGATTTCCATTATTGAAGATTTTCCGGTGGTTTCAGATTTGTTTGCTATGGCAACCATGATATGCAAAAGAATTCCCATTACAAAGTGGAGAAAATTCTTTTAGTTTTTATCACGCATAAAACCTCAAATAAATAACAACCAAACCAAGTGGGGTTGTGTACTTAGGTTTGCCAGTACAGCTCCTCCCCGACTTACGACGGGGTTAGGGACCCAAATCCAGGTCGTAAGTCAAAAATGCTTAAATAATATAGAAAATCTAAAATGGGTGTCTCTTTTTCTTCTCAGCACCACAAAACTCTCACTTTTAAGCTTCCCAGCCATTTTAAAGTGAATTACAAACGAAAATTTTGTCTGTGTACTGACGTTGGGACTCAAAAATACGTAATTTGACAAAAATTTTGGTACAACTGAGGCAGGTTAAGTAAAGTGTGGGTGGGTAAGTCGGGGAGGAGCTGTGCTGTACTGTACAGTTTGGCTTGGTTATTGGGCATAAAAATGACTTTGAACTTGACCTTATCAATTGATCTTGGAAACTGAAGGTCATGAAAGTGGTTCCAGTCGACTCATCACCCTAAACACTACAGGAATCCATCTAATTCTGCCTAAAGGTGGCAGAGATATAACAATTTCAAGAATTTCACACTATCCCAAATTCCACATTTGGTTACTATGGAAACACAATTTTAAAAGGGTTGGCCAACACCTACCTGGCCTAAGACTATATTCAGTATGCTTATGGAGTAAAGGTCCCATAATGTAGTTATTTCATGATAATAACTCAAACTAGACTTTTTTTTTTTGAGTATCGGCCGACCATCTATACGTACACTGAAGGTAAGAACTATGTTGTTTTATATAATAAAGGAAGGTAAATGACTGCTGTAATATACTGTATTATTCTCTCCCTTGTCAGTTATCCCGCTGGAGTTCCACATCTTAAAGTCTTGTACTATGGGTTGGCCTTCTGGTTCGACGTGGCTTTCCTCGGCTCATCACAGACGGTCTGGCTCTCAACTGCTCCCACAGAACCCCTCACTCACTGGTATCAGGTAAAACATTTTTTTTTCTTATTTTTTAGTTTTTAGTTAACTTAAAAGTTCTTCATTTGTTGACAGTTAATATAGAGGTGTCCCCTGTGATACAAACTTCCTCCACACATGTTCACTTCTCTACCAGGCTCTTCATTTTCTTTATATTATATTTTTTTCTTTCTGAGCTACATTAGAGTACAGTATTGTAATGGATTGGAGGTATGTGAGTGGAAGAATGTGAGGAATAAAAAGGTAAATAAAAAAAATACTGCGTTGTTATTTAACAGGAGAGAGGCGAGCAGTGAGTGAGGAAACACCAGCTGTAGCTCTCTCCCTCAGTGTTTGCTTCTACACACTATGATTAATTCCCTTTATGTTTTTGACCTTATGATAATTATTGTATAATGTTTTTGGCACATACTGTACTGTGTGTGGTGCACATTTATACTGAAATAGACCTAACCAGCCCAGTCACCAGATGCACCACTGTCAGGTATACAGGGTGTCCATAAATGATAATCCTGATTAAAGCATGAGAGCATACTGTATTTAGGGTAATCATTTATGGATACCCTGTATATAACCATCTATTTGTGGCATTTTCAATGGTAATTTTGACTACACGTCTTTGACTTTACATGCCCTCTTCAGAACGTATTGCCGTCTAATATGCAACACGACTGTATTTACAAGATTAGTGGCAATTTGACAATTTTCAACAACATTGTGAATACACTAGTACCTCAGCCTTCACAAGGGATAGGTTCCTGGGACACACACAAATGTAGAATTTCATGAATAACATTGTGTAATAATTATGCATCCTGTCATTAATATTACACTGTACAGTAACATAAATTAGGGACCAAAAATAAAAAACTTTATTTAAGCTCTGTAAATACAACACAGGTTTGTACAGTTACTTTATACAGTTGTGTTAAATGAAAAGCAAGTAAATGTGGTGTGATATTGGTGTAGTTAACAGTAGTGGCCACGCTGCCACCACCACTGTGCCATGATGTTGGGGGAGTTAACAGTAGTGGCCACGCTGCCACCACCACTGTGCCATGATGTTGGGGGAGGTAACAGTAGTGGCCATGCTGCCACCACCACTGTGCCATGATGTTGGGGGAGGTAACAGTAGTGGCCACACTGCCACCACCACTGTGCCATGATGTTGGGTGAGGTAACAGTAGTGGCCATGCTGCCAACACTGTGCCATGATGTTGGGGGTTAACAGTAGTGTGCACGCTGCCACCACCACTGTGCCGATGTTGGGGAGGTAACAGTAGTGGCCATGCTGCCACCACCACTGTGCCATGATGTTGGGGAGTACCAGTAGTGGCCATGCTGCCACCACCACTGTGCCATGATGTTGGGTGAGGTAACAGTAGTGCACTGCCACCACCACTGTGCCATGATGTTGGGGGAGGTACCAGTAGTGGCCTGCTGCCACCACCACTGTGCCATGATGTTGGGGAGGTAACAGTAGTGGCAGCTGCCACCACCACTGTGCCATGATGTTGGGGAGTAACAGTAGTGGCGCTGCCACCACCACTGTGCCATGATGTTGGGGAGGTAACAGTAGTAGTGCTGCCACCACCACTGTGCCATGATGTTGGGAGGTAACAGTAGTGGCCATGCTGCCACCACCACTGTGGGATGATGTTGGGGAGTTAACAGTAGTGGCCACGCTGCCACCACCACTGTGCCATGATGTTGGGGGGTAACAGTAGTGGCCATGCTGCCAACCACCACTGTGGGATGATGTTGGGGGTAACAGTAGTGGCACGCTGCCACCACCACTGTGGGATGATGTTGGGGAGTTAACAGTAGTGGCCATGCCACCACCACTGTGGGATGATGTTGGGAGTTAACAGTAGTGTACGCTGCCACCACCACCACTGTGGGATGATGTTGGGGAGTTAACAGTAGTGGCCATGCTGCCACCACCACTGTGGGATGATGTTGGGGGGTTAACAGGTAGTGGCGCTGCCACCACCACTGTGCCATGATGTTGGGGGGGTTAACATGTAGGCCACGCTGCCAACCTCTGTGTCATGATGTTGGGGGTTAACAGTAGTGGCCACGCTGCCACCACCACTGTGCCATGATGTTGGGAGAGTTAACAGTGTGCGCTGCCACCACCACTGTGCTATGATGTTGGGGAGTTAACAGTAGTGGCCATGCTGCCACCACCACTGTGCCATGATGTTGGGGGAGTTAACAGTAGTGGCCGCCACCACCACTGTGCCATGATGTTGGGGAGGGTAATAGTAGTGGCCACGCTGCCACCACCACTGTGCCATGATGTTGGGGAGTTAACAGTAGTGGCCATGCTGCCACCTCTGTGCCATGATGTTGGGGGAGGTAACAGTAGTAGCCCTGCCACACCACCACTGTGCCATGATGTTGGGGGAGTTAACAGTGGCCCGCGCACCACCACTGTGCCATGATGTTGGGGGAGGTAACAGTAGTGGCAGCTGCCACCACCACTGTGCCATGATGTTGGGGGAGTTAACAGTAGTGGCCACGCTGCCACCACCACTGTGCCATGATGTTGGGGGAGTTAACAGTAGTGGCCACGCTGCCACCACCACTGTGCCATCAACACACACAACACTGTGAATGATCAACACACACACACACACACACACACAACACTGAGTGAAACAAGCTCAACACACACACACACACACACACAACACTGAGTGAAACAAGGCTCAACACACACACACACACCTGCCACACAACTCTCTGCAATGAAACAAGCTCAACACACACACCTGACACACACTGCAAGTGAAACAAGCTCAAGAGACACACACACACACACACCTGACATACAACACTGTGAGTGGAACAAGCTTAACACACACACACACACACACACACCTGACACAACATGTGAATGAAACAAGCTCAACACACACACACCTGACACACAACACTGAGTGAAACAAGCTCAACACACACACACACCTGACACACAACACTGTGAGTGAAACAAGCTCAAGACACACACACACACACCTGACACACAGCACTGTAGGTGAAACAAGCTCAAGACACACACACACACACACACCTGACACACAACACTGGGAGTGAAACAAGCTCAAGACACACACACACACACACCTGACACACAACACTGAGTGAAACAAGCTCAAGACACACACACACACCTGACACACAGCACTGAGTGAAACAAGCTCAAGACACACACACACACACCTGACACACAGCACTGTGAGTGAAAGAAGCTCAAGACACACACACACACACCACACACAACACTGGGAGTGAAAGAAGCTCAAGACACACACACACACACCTGACACACAGCACTGTGAGTGAAACAAGCTCAAGACACACACACACACCTGACACACAACACTGAGTGAAACAAGCTCAAGACACACACACACACACCTGACACACAGCACTGAGTGAAACAAGCTCAAGACACACACACACACCCTGACACACAGCACTGTGAGTGAAACAAGCTCAAGACACACACACACACACCTGACACACAACACTGTGAGTGAAACAAGCTCAAGACACACAGACACACATCTGACACACAGCACTGTGGAGTGAAACAAGCTCAAGATACACACACACACCTGACACACAACACTGGAGTGAAACAAGCTCACACACACACACACATCCTGACACACAACATCTGAGGAAACAAGCTCAAGACACACACACACACATCTGACACACAGCACTGTGAGTGAAACAAGCTCAAGACACACACACACACACCTGACACACAACACTGGGAGTGAAACAAGCTCAAGACACACACACTGACACACAACACTGAGTGAAACAAGCTCAAGACACACATATACACACCTGACACAGCACTGAGGAAACAAGCTCAAGACACACACACACACACCTGACACACAACACTGAGTGAAACAAGCTCAAGACACACACACACACCTGACACACAGCACTGAGTGAAACAAGCTCAACACACACACACACACCTAACACACAGCACTGAGTGAAACAAGCTCAAGACACACACATACACACACCTGACACACAGCACTGAGTGAAACAAGCTCAAGACACACACACACACACCTGACACACAACACTGAGTGAAACAAGCTCAAGACACACACACACACACACACCTGACACACAGCACTGAGTGAAACAAGCTCAAGACACACACACACACACACCTGACACACAACACTGAGTGAAACAAGCTCAAGACACACATACACACACACCTGACACACAGCACTGAGGTGAAACAAGCTCAAGACACACACACACACACCTGACACACAACACTGAGTGAAACAAGCTCAAGACACACACACACACCTGACACACAACACTGAGTGAAACAAGCTCAAGACACACATACACACACCTGACACACAGCACTGAGTGAAACAAGCTCAAGACACACACACACACACACACACACCTGACACAGCACTGAGTGAAACAAGCTCAAGACACACACACACACACCTGACACACAACACTGAGTGAAACAAGCTCAAGACACACACACACACCTGACACACAACACTGGGAGTGAAACAAGCTCAAGACACACACACACACACCTGACACACAACACTGAGTGAAACAAGCTCAAGACACATACACACACCTGACACACAACACTGGGAGTGAAACAAGCTCAAGACACACATACACACACCTGACACACAACACTGGGAGTGAAACAAGCCAAGACACACACACACACACCTGACACACAACACTGAGTGAAAGAAGCTCAAGACACACACACACAACCTGACACACAACACTGAGTGAAACAAGCTCAAGACACACACACACCCTGACACACAACACTGAGTGAAACAAGCTCAAGACACATACACACACCTGACACACAACACTGAGTGAAACAAGCTCAAGACACACACACACACCTGACACACAACACTGGAGTGAAACAAGCTCAAGACACACACACACACACACCTGACACACAACACTGAGTGAAACACGCCAAGACACACACACACACCTGACACACAACACTGGGAGTGAAACAAGCCAAGACACACACACCTGACACACAACACTGAGTGAAACACCAAGACACACACACACACCTGACACACAACACTGAGTGAAACAAGCTCAAGACACACAGACACATCTGACACACAACACTGGGAGTGAAACAAGCTCAAGACACACATACACACACCTGACACACAACACTGAGTGAAACAAGCTCAACACACACACACACACACACACACACACACACCTGACACAACACTGTGAGTGAAACAAGCCAACACACACCTGACACACAACACTGAGTGAAACATGGGCATCCTCACACACACACACACCTGACACAACTCTGTGAGTGAAACAAGCTCAACACACACCTGACACACAACACTGAGTGAAACATGGTCATCACACACACACACACCACTCTGACACACAACACTGGGAGTGAAACAAGCTCAACACACACCTGACACAACACTGGGAGTGAAACAAGCTCAACACACACCTGACACAACACTGAGTGAAACAAGCTCAACACACACCTGACACAAACACTGGAGTGAAACAAGCTCACACACACCTGACACAACACTGTGAGATACAAGCTCAATACACACCTGACACACAACACGGTGAGTGAAGTAGGCTCAACGCACACCTGACCACAACCTTCGGTGAAACAAGCTCAATACACACCTGACGCACAACACTGTGAGTGAAACAAGCTCAACACACACCTGACACAACACTGGAGTGAAACAAGCTCAACACACACCTGACACAACACTGTGAGTGAAACAAGCTCAATACACACCTGACACACAACACGGTGAGTGAAATAGGCTCAACGCACACCTGACACACAACACTCAGTGAAACAAGCTCAATACACACCTGACGCCTTTCAACACTGTGAGTGAAATAAGCTCAACACACACCTGACACGCAATACTGAGTGAAATAGGCTCAACGCACACCTGACACAAAACACTGTCAGTGAAACAAGCTCAATACACACCTGACACACAACACGGTGAGTGAAATAGGCTCAACGCACACCTGACACACAACACTGTCAGTGAAACAAGCTCAACACACACACACACACCTGACAATCATACATACTGAATATTAGGTTTTTCTGTAACAAACTTATGACTGGCAAATAATATATAATTCCAGTCATAAGTGTAATATTAACCTCAGTAATGGTGTGAGTGAGGCAGACGACGCCGGGCTTGTTGGTCAGGAGGGGGAGGCGTTAAAAACATTGTTATAGACAATTGTTTGGCTTTATTTTATAGTTCTTTATAGATTACTTGATAAGGTTGTAAAACAGTCTCTGTATTCCTCTTCATTTTGATGCTTAATTTGTCTAATTTAAAACCATTGTTGCGAGTTCGCTCCTGGTTGGATAGTTTGAGTACCTTTGTAATGTTCCTTTGTTCATCCCTGACTTCCATTTATACACCTCTATCATGTCGCCCCTCACTCTACGTCTCTCGAGGTGCCAAATTAAGATGCTTTAACCTGACTCTGTACTCAAGGTTCCCATTGCCCAGGATTAGCCTCGTCATTCTCCTCTGAATTCTTTCCAAGGATTCTTTATCCATTCTGTATCTGATTGACCAGAATTGAACTGCATAATCTAAGTGAAATCTCACTGGCGCAAGATATAGTTTTAGGATGAAGTTGCTAGTCTTGTAACTAACACTCCTTTGTATGAACCCAAGTACTTTAGTAGCCTTGTTTCAGGCAAATAAACATTGTTTACTTGGCTTAAGATTCCTACTTATCATTACTCCTAAATCTTTCTCGCAGTAGGATTTCTCAATATTGTTTTCATCTGGTATTTGGTTTCCCTGTTTACATCTCCTATACTGAGTACAGGGTTTACTTTATATTTGTCCACATTGAATTTCATCTGCCATTTTTCAGACCATTAATTTTTTTTTTTAGATCTTCCTGTAGATTTGTGGAGTCCTCGTCAGATTTAATTTCACGCCCTATTTTAGTGTCATCAGCAAATTTACTTATGTTGCTGTCTACGCCGATATCTATGTCGTTTATGTATATAATAAATAATAATGGTCCAAGTACTGAGCCTTGGGGAACTCCACTAGTAACATTGCTCCAATCGGATTTAGTGCCGTTAATGCTCACTCACTGTTTCCTGTCCTGTAAACACGCCCTAATCCATTTTAGAATATCTCCTTTAATGCCATGAGCCTCCACTTTTCTTATTAGTCTTTAGTGGGGACTCTGTCGAAGGTTTTGCTAAAGTCGAGATATACCACATCATAATTGTGCCCCTCTTCCACTGATTCAAAAACAGATGAAAAGAATGTTAATGGATTAGTTAGATATGAATGCCCGCTATGAAGCCATGTTAGAATCATTGATCAACTTGTGCTTCTCCAGGTGATTTTGAATAGTGTTTGAAATGATTGCTTCCAGTAATTTGCCTACAATTGATGTTAGACTGATTGGTCGGTAGTTAGAGGAAAGGGATCTATATTCCTTCTTGAAAATCGGTATTACATTCGCTATCCTCCAGGATTCTGGTACTACACCGTTTTAGGACATGTTAAACAACTTTGTTAAGGGCATACTAAGCTCTTCCTTACATTTCTTTAATACTCTGGCAAATATCTCATCGGGACCTGGTGACTTATTAGGCTTACTAACATCGTCACTAGTCACTACTATCTCGCTTAATTTATTTTCTTCTCTATCTCTGTATATAGTCGGTGCCTCGGGTTGTCGTTCTAATTTTCGGTGGTAAAAACTGTTGAAAAATATTTACAGTTGAACCTCGATTTACGCGGTTCTCGTTTACGCATTTGGTCATTTACGCTGTACCTTGTCAGAACCAGAATGCCCGATTCTGCGGTGAATTTACTCATTTCGAGGGTTAAGTATAATTTGTTTATTTACTGAAGATATATATGTTTTTAGCTCAAAATATATAATTTGCATTGCTGGAATCCTTAACATCTTAACATTTGCATTAGACATACAAATTTTAGATGTAATTTAAGACTTATGAAAGCAAATATTTTATCTTTTATGCAAAATATATAAGTTTACATTCAAAATATTCCTGACCTGCAAGGAATCCAGAAATGTCAATTATATTATCCTAACTTTAGTCTGAGAGTATTATTTATTACTAAAATGTAAATATACTGTTCTCTCCCAAACATTTCTCTGTTAGGAGGTAAGGTGGGGGGGAGGGACAGCTATAGTGGGAAGAGGTGAGCAGAGGTGGGGTATTTTGATTGACAGATAGTATCTGGGTGAATAATAATTTTTTTATTTACTGAGGATATTTGTTTTAGCTCATAAAATTCATACAAATTACCTGGCCAGAATATAATTTACATTGCTGGAATTCTTATAAGATTGTGATTATTTTAAATATAAACATCATGGAATTTGTATTAGACATACAAATTTTAGATCTAATTTAAGAATTTTGATTACAAAGCCCAAAAAAATTTTTTGGGCATAAAATATATTTATATTCAAAATATTCCTGGCATTGCAAGAATCCAGCAATGTCAATTATATTATCTAACTTTAGTCTTAGGTATTATTTATTACTATACCTTAAAATCTAGTGTTTTCACCCAAACATTTCTCAGAGAGGAGGAGCCAGCGTGGGAAGAGGAGAGGTTGAGTCCATTATTTGAATGGACATTAACCTGGTGACTGTATTTCTCTTAAATATTAATTGTGTTTGCATACCATCATAAAATTATGATGTTATTTTTACTAGCGTAGGTATTATGTCGGAAAAAGTGGAGTGTGGGAGTCGGCCCAGTCTCTATTTCAATTAATCCCATATGTTCTGTTATTCCATTTACGCAGTTCTCGTTTTACGCACTACTCCTTGGGTTCAATTGACCGCGTAAATCGGGAATATTACTGTATTCAGATTATTGCTCATTTCTCTGTTGTTATCAATTATCTCACCGGTATCCGACTGTATTGGTCCAATCTTTTCTCCGTGTTTTTAGTTTGATACATTTGATAGAATCCCTTGGGGTTTGACTTTGCTTCCTTGCTACCTTCAGTTCATTATTCCTCTTTGCTTTTCTTATCTCAGTCTTAACCCTACCGGCGAATACCTTATAATAATCTCGGAGGGAAACTTCACCACGATTTATTCTCCTACCTATAGCCCTCCTTTGTCCAATTATATTCTTTAAATAATTGTTAATCCATTTAGGGTCATTGTTGTTTGATCTGAGTTTTCTGTATAATATGTTCTGCCTTTGTGCATTAAGTAACTCATTATTTAAATTGTTGTGGAACTTGTAAACCTCAGGTTTTTATGATTAGGTCATCCTCAACCATCATGTTTTGTGATGATATCATTGTCAGGTCTCCAGATAAAGTGAGCTCACCCTCTGTGAGTACATTGTGAGAGGTATAATCCATCCCCAAACGTGATACCCCTTCTCTCAGCTGCCTTTTCAACCTATCAAAGTTTGCCCTTCTGAAATCTGGGACTTTAATAGAATTTTCCTTGCATCTGCCATTAAATTTAATTGAAATTTTATTTCTTTGTGATCGCTGTTGTCAAGTTCATTCCCTACCTCGACATTGCTAATGAGGTTTTTTCTGTTTGACAGAACTAAATCGAGTATATTGTTACCCCAGGTGGGTTCGGTTATATGTTGTCTTAGGAAACAGTCCTCAACTGTTTCAAGAAAATCCTGTGATTCTGAGTTACCTGTAAGGTCAATCCAATGCATTTGGCTAAAGTTATTGGGTCATGTTACTAACCTGACCTGATGTAATGTCAGGTCACCCATTGTTGGGTGGGAGATTATTGGGTCATGTAACTAACCTGACCTGATGCAATGTCAGGTCACCCATTATTAGGTGGGGCATTAGTGGGTCTTATGACCTGAAGATGTCTTGAATGAAATTTTTTACTTATGAGTTATATACCTATTACTAAACTGTATTGTATGTGAAGGGTACAGGTATTAACCCCTACTCCCCGGGCTAGGGTGCCACTGGCTGTATCCCCCACTGAGGTAAATCAAGAAAAATCAACTTTTCCAAAATAATTTTAACCTTTTTAAATGATAAAACAATTATAAATAAGTAAGAAACCTTATATATTGACCCTCTAGAAACTTCCCTGTGGCCACAGTGGGGAGGGAGCTAAAGGGACGGTGTTGTTTTGACGGCTAGCACTCATGGTCACTTTCACACTTAGCGGCCATTTTCTGCTTGCCTTTGTGTCCGGGATGGCCAGTAATACATATATTTACAGTAGAAGTCCAAAAATCCGGACTGCTTGGGGATTGGGTAGGTCCGGATTTTCGGATTTTCCGGATTCTCAGGCAGTACTTTTAAAACTAAAATTTAAGGAGGAATAAGGATGAGATGAACAGGTACATTTTGATAGTTTATTCATTAGCAAATAAAGCATGCTTCATTTATCAAAACGAGCAGTTTTAAAGAAACAAAGTCAACACTAGACAAAAATGTAAACAAACTGTCTAATACCATGATGAGTCTTGAAATTCCTAAGCCATCCATCACTAAATGTGCACTCTGATTCGATGTTCATTTGCTCCTTAAGACTTTGCTTTGGCAATAAGTATCGACCCAGAAATTGCCATACCTTTTGATCGTTTATACAAAAACCATTAGGTGCAACACTTTATCAAGATTTTCTAATTTGGGCCAATGTAAACTTTTTCTTTCAGCAATTTTAATGTAAGGCTCAGAAGAAGCTGTGAATTCTAGAATTTTATTCTTTGCCTTTTTATATCATAAATTGTAAACTTTCCAATGTCGTATGTTTCCATTAGAACAGCATTGCTCACACCACGTTCTAGTTTCTTAATTATTTCAAGTTTGTCACTCAATTTCAATGTGTTCTTCTTTCTCTTCACACATTAAAGTTTATCTACTTTAGGGGCCATTATTATGGGCCTGTACTCTGTACATGGAAAGAGTAGGACTCAAAATTACATCGTTGTCAGTTTGATTGCTTGTTTTAAAGTGGAGATCGTGTGGTTGGTTTGTTGTCACTGTGCAGCTGTGGCATTCACTCATCACACATACACACAAAGATTTATAGTGCCTCAAATTTTACATTTCAGTTCAAGCTAACTACAAACTAACAAAATTAGCTACCTGTAATTTACAATTACTTATACTGTGTTATTAGAATTATGTAAATTAATTTTTTAAAGCAACTCCATTCATTCACGTAACCCCACAAAGACCGCTAAATTTAAAAAGTTTGAGTTTTCAAAAAGTCCGGATTCCTGGCATCCGGATTTTTGGACTTTTACTGTACTGATCGTAATACAGTTTTCCCTCAGTTAACGAACGGTTCGATTAACGAAATTTTGGTAAACAAATTACCTCCCATAAGAATTTTCAGTTCGGTTAACATACAAAACTCTGATTAACAAAATCCTTACGACAAACCCGTTTTGTTGTGCGCATCAGCTGATCGGCTAGTCTGCCAATACAGTAATCAGTTCTATGTTTACATTCGTTTCCAGTGGAGTAAATACAGTGGTCCCTCGGTTAACGAACACAATTCGTTCCAGAAGGTCGTTCATTTACCCGAAATTTCGTTAACTTGAAACCATTGTTTCAATGGGATTTTGGGTAATTGGTTCCAGCTCACTGAAAATTACATAAAGTAAAAAAAAATGCAGCAAAGTACACTTACTTTGAGGTGTGTGTATAAGCGCCTTTATTGATGATGCTGATGAATTTGAAGTGGGGAGGTGGATAGAAGGCGAAGAGAAGGCGAGGTGAGGAGGAGAAGGATGAAAGAGAAGGAAGGGTGTGGGAGTATGTGCCATCTTTTACTGTTTTGAAGGTGAGTCACCTTCCATGAAAAATGTCAGGAACCCTCTCTCGAATGCACAGAGATTCTGTGAGCAGGGAAAAATCCTCTCTCCTTTTTTAAAGTAGCGCTGAGCTGCATCCTTTCCCACTGCCTTGCAAAGAAACTGTCAGGTTTGCCGTAAGCATTCTCCTCATCATTAATCATTTCGAAGGAGACCACTTTGTCCTCAACACTACGCTCAGATTTCTGTTGTTTCCACATCAGTTTTGATGCCAGTTTCCTCGAACATCTCCTCAGTGTAAACAACATCCTTCAAATGGGGAATATATATGGTCATCACTTCTCCTTTCTCCTCACCACTGTCAGCTTTAACATCTCATCCAGTTGTTGCAAGTCTTCAGAGCAAGTTCTCGCGAGACATCAAGTTTCTTCCACATCATCCTCTCCTCCAATTTTGAGTCTAATGACTGACCACGGACAACAATCTCCTGTCCAACCTCGCTTTCCTCAAACCAAAATCATGGACTGCTGATGGCCACAGCTCTTTCCATGCAGAATTGAGGGATCTAATGGAGGACTTCTTTCTAAGGAGGACACACCAATGGAAATTTCCAGGATGTTGAATTGTGTCTTCCAGAACTGTGCCAGTAAGAATTGAGATCAGTGGAATTGCCTGATAACACTACTCCGAAACATTTTCCTCATGTACAAAGTTTCAAAGTTGGCTAGATCGTATTCTATCCATTGGCTGCATAATTGAAGTAGTGTTGGGAGGCAAAAAATAACACTTTATTAAAGTCGTTGAGCCTCCAAAAGTGTGTTGGCAAGTTCAGGGTCATGAATTAGGGTATTTAGCTATGAGGAGAAGAGCTCTTTAAAGGGTGCTTATTGGTGTTTAGTAGCTCTTCACAGAAGGGCAAAAACACCTCAACAGCCCATTCATTAAAGAGCTGTCTTGTTACCCATGCCTTACGGTTGGTCTCCAATAATAAACTCCAAGATGTCCTCTTATCACCTTTTGTTGCTTGAACACCCTGGGGTTCTCAGAGTGGTAGACAGCGTAAGTGGGGTTTCAGTCGGAACTCTCTGAAGCATTGGCACCAAGCAAGAGTGAGTCGTCCTTCGCGGGGTTTATGCCCAGGTATAGAGGCTTCATCTCTGGTGGATAAATGTCCTTAGGCATTTTCTTCCAGGAATACCTTGAAGTTTCATCCACATTGAACACTTCGGTTAGGAAGATAATTTTCTTCATCCACCGCTTCTAAACTCCACTATTAAACTTGTTGCTCTTCTTATCTGCACTAAGTAGCTTCACCATGCCCACCAACAGTGTGCAATGTCGCCTTCTTTTCTTAAATTTTTTCAAATTCACCCCTTGCTGTCCAAACTCTTCAAACTCTGTGCCACAGAAGGTCCAGGTTGATCTTCCTTAAAAACAGTTCTGCGGTATTTCCCGGCTCTTTCTACAAATAACAAATTTATAAACTGAATCAATTTTTCATTGTTTTTCCCATCCAAATAAGAAGTAACCTCTCTGTTTCAAGTATTATGATCTACCTTAAACACTCTAAGTAGATTTGTTCTTTCACTTTCACTTTCTTTTGAACTGTCGCTCTGGCACAAGAATTGTTCCAGCTGCAGTTGATGCCTAATACGCCAGTTATTCCTTACTGCTAACATTTGTTCTAATGCCTTCTCTTATGTTTAATAATTTCCTGTTTCACTCCTGAATTGAAATCCTTTTCATTTCTTTGGTGCCATGCTGGATTCAATGGCATCGCACCAATTAAAATTTCAAGTTCACTAGCTGTAATTGCGTTGATTATTTTCTTAAATCAACACTCGCGCTATATATTATCAATATGTAAAATAAATTTCAAAATGACCAATAATTGTACTGTTAAACGAAAATAGTTTATATGTTCAAGGAGTCCCAAGCAAAAGTTTGTTAATTTCGAGATACAAACTGACGCCTGCTGGGTGAGTCAAGTGGCTGGTTGGTGTGCTAAAAACTAGTTTCCTGTACTTCAATTATGTTAAATAATTATTAACATGGCTAAAAAATTTAATATAAAACTTGTAAAATTATTGAATAGTACAACCTTCTTGATATTTACTCAAATGAGAACGAATTTAAGCCCTAGAACCGATTACTGTATTGGCGGACCAATATTCCAGCTGGTGAGCAAGCGAAAACATGTTGAGAGGAATTCGTTAACCGAATTTTTTCTTAACCGAAATGAAGATTCTTATGGAAGGTAATTTGTTAACAGACATTTCTTTAACCAAGGCATTCATTAACCGAGGGGCCACTGTATCAAGAAAGTTGTGCTCTAATATTTTTTCATTTTTTATTTTAAAATTATTAGTAATTTTATAATTTAGTTAACATATTGATAATTAATTATCATATATTATAATATATGCAGTACAGGGAACTAGTTTTTTTAGCGCCCATCAGCCGCTTGACTCGCCCACCAAAGTGTCTCTCTTTAACTTTGTTTACAGTGGAGGAAATGTCGTGTGTGTTGGTCTCTTGAATACAGTCAACCCTCACTTTGCGCGGTTAATGTAGCAGC